CTGTTCATTGAGGAGCACTCCGCCATAGCCGCTCTATTAACGGATCTCTTGAAGATGGGGCAAGTATGGTGCTGGACACCTAAGCACCCAAACGACGTTTTAAGCTTTGAAGGACGCCGTCACTCGAGAGACGGTCTTGACTCTCCCTAATTTTGAGAAGCCGTTCGAGGTGTGTACGGAAGCTCTTGATTTCGCATACGGGGCGTTCTCATGCAAGACGGTCACCCGATTGCTTATGAAAGCCGCAAGTTGAATGAGACCGAGAAAAGGTGGCTGATGCACGAGAAGGAGATGTTGGCTATAGTTCATTGCCTTAGAGTTTGGGAGCATTACTTGAAGGCAGGAACGCCATTCAAAATCAAGACGGACAATCGGGCAGTGAGCTACCATCAAAGCCAACCCAAGCTTTCTAGTAAGCAAGCACATTGGTTGGACTTCTTGGCTGAGTTTAAGTATGAGCTGGAATACAGCCGGGGAAAGACTAACCACGTAGCCGACGCCTTAAGCCGAAAGGCGTGTCTTGTTCCAATCGTTAGCATACCCGAGGGAAAGTTGTTTGATTGTATCAAGAAGGGGCTTGAGCACGACTGTCAAGCCCAAAGGTTCATGGAACTCATGAAGGAGGGCAAGACGACGCAGTTTTGGCTTCAAGATGGGATACTTTATGCCAAGGGAAACTGTTTGTACGTGTCTGCATGGGATGGACTTAGAAGGGAGATCCTAAGGGGTTGCCATGATAGCCGTTATGCGGGTCACCCAGGTACGCATCGTACACTTGCTTTGATTCATGAACCGCTCTATTGGCCTCGCATGCGGGAAGATGTGGAGACCTATGTGAGGACCTGTCTCGTTTGCCAACAAGACAAGACCGAACAAGATCACCCACATGGCTTGCTATCACCTTTCCCTATTCCGGAACGCCCGTGGGACAGCATTTCAATGGACTTCATTGTGAGTTTGCCCATTTCCGAGGGTTACACCAACATCCTTGTTGTGGTGGACCGTTTGTCTAAGTATGCGGTCTTTATACCTGCCCCAAAGGAGTGCACCGCGGAGATAACGACCAAGCTCTTTCTTAGGCATGTGGTGAAGTATTGGGGGCTGCCTACATCGATCATAAGTGACGGGGACTCAAGATTCACCGGCCGTTTTAGGCAAGAACTCTTTCGTTTGCTTGGGACGGAGCTCAAGATGTCTACATCTTTGCACCTGCAAACGAATGGGCAGATGGAGCACATTAACAGTCTCTTGGAGGTGTACCTTAGGCACTATGTGGCAGCCAACTATAAAGATTGGGTACGTTTGCTAGACGTTGCCCAATTTTTCTACAACTTGATGCGGAGCGAGAGCACGGGCAAGAGTCCGTTTGAGATTGTCTTTGGTTTCCAACCGACTACACCTAAGGACATCCTTGGGGGCTACAAGAGCAATAGCTCTCCCGCATACAAGTTTGCCAGGGATTGGTAAGAACGGGCCGATGAGGCGAAGCTCTACTTGGAGAAGTCGGCCGCGCACATGAAGAAATGGGCGGACAAGAAACGGAGCCGTCACGAGTTTGAAGAAGGCGACCAAGTCTTGGTGAAACTCTATGAGCATGGACAAAGCCGTGGCCTTCACAAGGGACTGATGCTCAGGTACGAGGGTCCTTTCACCGTTCTTAAGAAAGTAGGTTCTGTTGCTTATAAGTTGGAGCTACCCGAGGCCTTTTCAAGACTTCATCCGGTCTTTCATGTGAGCCTACTTAATCCATATCGCAAGGACCCGGAGGAGGAAGAACGTAACACTTCCTCAAGGGCACCTGCTGGCGTACGCGAGCACGTGGAAGAGACCGCGGAGGAGATCCTTTCTAAGAGGATCGTTCGAGGCAAGAACGGGGGCAGTGACTAAAGAATACTTGGTGAGATGGAAGGGTTTGCCAATGAGCGAGATGAGTTGGGAGCCGGTCGAGAAGCTTTGGCAATTCACCAAGTTGATCGAGGACTTTGATGAGAATCGTGCACCTGTTCCCATCAACATTGCCTTCGAGTCTTAGTGTGCATCGGGGCGATGCACCGTTTTGGTGGGGGAGGATGCCACGGCTGTTTCCCATTCTAGGGTTAGGCCGTCCTTTCCCACGTTTGTGGGGTTTGCTGCATAAACGGGCCATTTCCTTAACCGGGATAAGGGATGGAACGTTCTAGAGAATGCTGGAAAACTAGGGTCAATTCCACACGGATTTGGAACTCTCTAAAATGACCGGACTTTGCTGGAAACATAGAGAAGCTTCCCGGGTTTTGCTAGGTTGGTCAGGAACGGGCTGGAAGATTCTCGAATTCTATGGGATTCTACACTTTGTATATTTTATACTTTGTATAGAATTCTCTAGAATCCTTGTAGACTTGGGGGCTTGCCTATAAATACCCCATGCCCCCTCATTTGTAATCCATCCAAGCTTTGAGTAAGAGTTCTCAAGCATTCCTTAAGCTCTCTTGTGCCTTCATCGTTCTTTCATTTCCAAACTTTCTTAAGCTTTCCTTTGCCTACATTCTTTGGCTTTCTTGCATAGCTTTGCACGTTTAAGGGGTCAAGGCTACCACGTTCATCGTTGGTTTTTTTAGTGCTAGTGCCGCACGGCCGTTACTTTGAAAAAGTAAGTCCGTGACATTAGGTACATGTTCTATCGGCCGACCATGAGTGGCCGTCTAAGAAGATGGGCGTTAGCACTAATGGAGTATCTGTTCCAGCATTTGCCCCAATCAGTGGTTAAAGGACATGCATTGGCGGATTTTTTGGCAGAGTATCCATCATTAGACCAGGATTGGTCTGAGAAAGAGGTAGAATCCTATGAAATTATGGCCCTGGAAAAAAGACCATGGGAGTTGTATTTGATGGATCTACTACCTTTGTGAAAAGTGGAACTAGGATTGTAATTTTGTCACCAAACGGTATAGTTATGAAGGTGCAGGTCAGGTTGGGATTTAAGTGTACCAATAATTAGGCAGAAAATGAAGGCATTGTCTATGGTTTGGAGACTTTGTTGTTTACTAGAGTGAAGCATGTGAAAGTGATTGGTGATTCTTGGTTGATTATTCAGCAAGTTTCGAACAAATGTCGTTGTAATGATGATGTGTTATTTAAGTGTTAGAAAGTTGTGGAAAGACTCAAAGAATGTTTTGATTATATTGAGTTTGAGTATCAGCCAAGGGAATGTAATCATGATGATAATGGTATGGCACAAGCTGCTTCTGATTATCGGCCGATAGAGGATCATTCAATGTCTTTCTTTGTTGTGGATTTGGATCGACCCGCATATGAAGATTCGGTGGCAGTTGTGAATAATATAGGCACGGAGACGGATTGGAGGGCGCCACTGATCGAGTGTTTGGCCTTTCCATAAGAAAGGTTGATTTAAAGCTCCGGAAGCAGTCAGTCAATTATTTGCTTATTGACGGGTTGTTGTATAAGAAAATAGAGGATGAAATATTGTTGAAATGTGTTAGCAAACCAGAAGTATTTTTAATTATGTTGGAAGTGCATGAAGGAATTTGCGGTGCTCACCAAGGTGGAAGGAAGAGGTCTTGGTTGATTCGAAGGTATGGGTAGTTTTGGCCGAGTATAACGAAAGATTGTATAGAAATTGTCCATGGGTGTAAGGAATGTCAAAAACATGGGTATTTCCAGAAAATACACCCTGAACCGATGCAGATTATTGTAAAACCATGGCCGTTCAGGTGTTGGGTGATGGATTTTATTGGAATGATTTATCCTCCATCGAGTAAAGGTCATAAGTATATCATAGTGGCTACTGACTATTTTACCAAATGGGTAGAAGCGATTCCAATAAAAGAGGCCGATCAGAAAACTATAATTATGTTTGTGAAAAAACACATCATTTATAGATTTGGAATTCCAGAAACTATAGTTACTGATCAGGCCCAGTACTTTGTTGGAAAAGATATGATGGAATTTGCTAAGGAAGTCGGTTTTGCTTTTACACATTCATCTCCATATTTTGCACAAGGAAATGGACAAGCTGAAGCTGCAAATAAAATTCTTAAGGGGATTGTGCAGAAGTCCATAGATAAAAATCCAAGGGGTTGGCATGAATTGGTTCCTCAGGCTTTATGGGCTTACCGGACAACTAAGCGTGGAGGAACTGAAACTACTCCTTATGAGTTGGTTTATGGACAAGATGCAGTGTTACCGGTTGAACAGCTGGTCAAATTAGTGATGGTAGCTGAGCAATATCCTATCGACTCAGAGGAATATCGGTTGGCTATGCATGAACAACATGAAAAGGTAATGGAAACAAGGAAACAGGCTGTCCAACAGATTTAGTTGCAGAAGGAGAGGATGTTCAAGCAATATCAGAGGAATACAAGGCAGAAGGTATTTGAACTGGGGGACAAAGTTCGGAAAGCAGTGTTGCCGATTGGACAGAAAGATCACAGTTTGGGTAAATGGTCACATACATGGGAAGGTCCATTTATCATACATCAGAGTTTAGGCAAAGGAGTTTACAGACTTAAGTCACTAACAGGGGAGGTTCATGCTAAAACAATCAATGCTATTTTTCTAAAGAAGTATTATGCATCAACATGGGATCAATTAAGTGCAACGGATCAAAAGGTAGCTAAGGACTTGGCAAAATAGAGATATGCATGAAAGAGCAGCTTTATTCGAAAGAAAAAAAAAACCAGCGAAAAGAAATAAAGTATTCCCATCAAAATGCACGCTGGCCAACAAAACCAAGAAATATAAATTGTTTTAAGACCCACGTAGGGGCCAATGGTAAAATCAATTGTTCAGAAGAAGGGACTTACTCACCCTTCGATTCACCAGAATGTTCTGGAATGGGTCCTGCACCGGCATCGATCATCAGTTGTCTCAGAGCGGCTACTACTTTTCCCCATGCTGAACAGGTGTCCATCAATTTGGCACTAGCCTGGTCATATAGTGGTCTAGCAGATTCAGCATTATAGTGCCGTTCTTCAACCTGATTGAGAGCGTTGGCAGCTTGATCAGACAGTGGGATCCAGCTCTTGGTTTTTGGCTGAAATTTGATCTTTAATTTCTTGCAGCTGCATCTCTACATTCTGCTGCACCAAAGCTAATTCTGCCAACTCTTTCTCAACCTGTTCCATCTGCTGAGCACAAGTTTGAACCTGCTCTTGGCTTTTGGATAGGTTAGCTTCATAGATGGGCAAATTTTTCCTGATTTCCGAGTTGGAGATGTATTGTTTCTGCAGATCATTGAACTCAGCAAGGAATTCGCTTATGGTTTCAGTAGTGACACTGGTCATACCCCCGGCCATAAGAGCTTCAAGGTCCTTCTTGATCTGATTAGCTTGAGCAGTGAACACTTGGCCAAGTGAGATGCCAATTATCTTTTTGGACAGTTTAGTGGCAAAAACACCTGCAAGAGGGCTCATTGATGCTCGGGGGGCAGTTGTTTTGAGACTTGCCATCCTGACTCGGAGTGCCGCTGATGATAGCAGGTTAGAGCTAGGAGACCCAGTTTGATTAGTTGTGGCTAACGGAGTAGGAGTCGATAATAAAGGGGATAGCTGAGGAACATCATGGACAACATCAGATTTTTGTTTTTTCTGAGTATCAACAGGAGGATTTTGTGGCAATCGGCATTTTCTGATAAGAGGAACTTCTTCTTCCTCCTCTTCTTAATCCTCATCCTCACCGATTTGTTTCCCATGGGTTTCCTCTTCTTTATGCTCTTCCTCATCCAGGAATAGGATGTCCTCATCAGTTGGTCCTTGTCCCTATTATCAGACAGGAAGAGGAATGAGTCTACAGTTGATAAAAAGGAAAACAACATAATAGAGACAAGGGTATTTTCTTGTTATCAGGGAAGGAGGTTACTCTATGAGGTACACTAGCCGTTTGCCTGCTGCTCTGGGACCTGGATGACAGCCGTATGGATTGTCTGGTTGCAGCAAGGGGTTTCTTAGGAAGCGTTGTCTGGTGTTTGCGGAAAGCTCTCTCCTTTATTGGGTCTGCAATTATCAAAATTAACAAGTAAAAAGGGGAGATCATAGAGTAGACAGTGGTAAACGGTAAGAGGAAATGTTACCATCATCTGTCAATGGAGCTGCACTCTTAGAAACAATTGGTATGACCACATTGGTCACAATCAATTGCTGCCTGAAGACATCATGCGTGCCTGGCATAATGATCAGGAACGTCTGTTGCCACCATAACTTGAAAGCTGCAGTACAAATCGGCCTTGGGGTGAATGGCACAATGGTTGCATCTTGCATCAACAGATTCATGAGATTGACCCGGCCGGCAATTGTAGATGGGGAAATGTGAAATTTGTCGATCCTCCAGTTGTTCCAGTAGTTGAACTCAAAGCTGGGGACAATTTGCATCAGGCCAAACTGTCGGGCCACTATGTTGGCTGGGTAGAATTCGGCAAAAAGTCTCTATGGTTTTCTTTTTGCCGGCGGCTTCTTGTGGCCAGAACCCAAAGTGCAGATCACAGGTTGCTAGAAAATACCCCCAGATTGCTCTCATACCAGTGGTACCGAACTCATCCCAGTATCGTAGATCAGTCCAAAACATGGGTGGTAACAATCAACATCAAGCAGTCGATGGACAACAGAAATATCAGGCTCAACCTCTAGAAAAATGCCTACAACATCATTAGTAGACATTTTGTTTCCTTCAAAAGAGGTGATGTTTTTATACAAAGTTTGATCAGGTCCTGCTATTTCTGAGTAACCAGATCTAAAGGCCAGGAAGTACATTTTAAGCCATAGAATTAACAACCACAAGGGACCACTTAAAGTGCGTTCAGGAGGTTGTCTAAGTTCAGATATGCTTCTATAAAAAGTACCCAATAAAGCCGATGCAAGGTATACTTTCTTACTAGGAGCAAGTACACAGGCTAAGTGATAGAAATTCATAATCATCTACAAGGATTTGGAGCATAACACATACCGATTGAGCCAAAAGGCTAAGAAAGTCCTGTGTTAGGTAGCCGAGTTAGTGTCTCGAACCGAATCCATTATCCGGCCGAATTGGTTTTCTTGATTGGTTGCTAGATCTGCTGCATCTGGATGCTCCAAATTAACGTCAACTACCATAGGGACCACCGACGGCAACCGGTAATGACACAGACATCTAGGAGGTTTAGTGTCAGCATTCCCCATGGAAGGAAAAGAACATTAGAAGTGGTTGACAAAAAAACGGGCAGCGACGCTGAATACCGCCGGATCAAAAGGGACCCCGATTTTGCAGAATTAGATCAGATCGTAGATTCCGGCGTCTCGCCAGACCTGACCAAATTCCGGTTCCAAATACTCGTACCAATTGACCCAACTGGGGTGGATTTTGATTTTTTGGGACCAAGGCCAACTGCGGTGGCTCTGAACACTCTGACAGTTGCCGGGATTGACGAATTGGTGATGAGGACTTGGTGGATGACATACCAGAACATGCTGGAAGAGCGTCGGTGGAGCAGCATCGAATCCCGGCCCTAGACTGTAGGATCGAATTTCTTTGTTAACCGGAGCCATCGTGTCCGGATAATTAGGCACCAGTGATGGGGCCTCAGCTTCATGGATAGCCCGTTTTTTGGCAAGAACAACAGAGTAATCTCTGGCGGCGACCATGGAAACAAGGAAGGAACAGCCGCTGGAAAAGGAAAAGCGGAGAGATTGAGGGAAAAAGCAAAGAAGAGAGACGATAGAGATGGGTGAAAATTGAGAGGACAATAATGGTGGATTGGAATAAAGGGGCAAGAGCCTATTAATGATACCTCAATTTTGAAGAATCAACAAACTGATATTCTCAAATCAGTAAAGGATTTGGATGACATTAAAATCCCACTTCTTTGGGGATTGGGATATCAACCATCAAAAGAGTGAATGTCTTTTAGTAAGGGAAGGATTCTATATTTGAATTTTGCCCAGGAAGAATAGAAACCTTATTCAGTACATTTCACAATATTTCTTGGGGGCATTATGTGGGGCCAGTTTTTTGGACTTTCGAGGATTCGGCAAGAATGTGGGTTGGGTTAGACCAAGCAGAAGGCCACGAATAAGGCTTCTAGAAGGCTCAGAGCCCGATTTGGAAGAAAGAAGCCTAGTTGGTGTTGGATTAGAATTATGAACCGACTGGAACTCAAGCACTATTTAAAGGAATCGGCGGTAGGAGGAAGGACACAATCAAAATAGCATCAAATTGCTTCTTTTAATTTTCAGTCTTTTATTTCCGATTTTGTCTCTTAAATTAGGGTTCTTCGAGAGCTCCTTAGATTAGGCCGATTATCGGCGGCCGTACTTGATCATCAAAGAGATTAATAAAATCTGGCCCACGGCCGATTCTTATTCTTTCCGAAATTTCTCATGTTTAACTTATTTCGCACAAGTTATTAAGAACAATGCACACTCATTTGAGAGATATATTGCGTGATTCTTCTAGGATGAAAATTGTGCAAACATTTGTGAAGCTAAGAGAAAGATATATAACTTTTGTGAAGAAAGAAGTTCCAAATTCAGACTCTATGTAGGAGAAAAAGGGCGAAGAATTCATTCACTCAAACTGAAAACGGGAGCATCTCAACAAACACTTGAAAGGCAGCATTGTTTCATCTTTTGTTTGAATTGAAGACTCAAACCACAGGTTGAATGAATCCACTATGGTTATACGAGAGATCAAGAGATAAGCTTTGGTGTTGAATTCGCGGGTAATGACTCACAAATCAGATAGCTCTGATCAGCAAACCAGCGAGAGGATTCCGGCCGCCGGTGACTTCAAACCGGAAAGGAGAAAGAATTTTCAAACAATTGCAAACTTAACCCTCCCTTCCCAGGGGATTAGCATAGGAGGGTCTCTGTTTCCTTGAAAGGAAAAGCTACACAAATTGTGGTCCTCAAGTTTCAAAAATGTCGAATAAGGCCACATATAATGTTATTCAGTCCTTAAATTTTCCCACTTAACCACTTTGGTTTCCACGATGTTAATGGCTATAAATTGATCTCTTGCAAATGGATTTGTAACTTTTAGACACTCAAAACTCACTTTAAGCTTAGTTTATTAGGTTTTCTCATCTTAGCATCAAAATAGATTAGTTTTGTTCATTTTGTACACTATTTTGGAGGAAGAATTCAAGATTAGCTATAGATGGACATGGGATTGGTGTTTTTGTTGGATGTGGTGATTCTCCACCTTGAAAGAAAGTGCTAACATCTCTCCTCTTTATCCAATTCTAATGTCTTCTTTATTATTAATCTTGGATGGTTTTTCTTTGATAATGAGTAGTTAAATCATTTTGAACTCCTTAGGTAGAGGATGGGTGTTTGAGATTTCCAATATCCATGTTAATTATTTTTATGGGTTGTGTTTATTAAGTCCATTAACAAGGTTAGTATAGGAGATGCATGTCATTTGATTTGATCATTTAAATGGTGTGTTATTAAACTCTCTTGAATGACTCTTTATCTTCAAAAGAGCATGAATTTGTTAATGGAACTCTATTAAATCTCATTTAGGCATAAATAGTTTGAAAGAGTGAATAAAGAATGTTAATTGGGTTTATTAAATTGGCTAAGTCACATAGGCATAGGGGGTTAGTCATACAATTCTAGGAACTAGGAATAGAACCTAGAGTGAAAAATAAACATCATTCCTTAATTAACATGACCTTAACATTAATTGGCATGGATTAAAGAAGTTAAAACCACCCTAATCATATCTTAGGAGTTACTTCCACCTTGTCCATGGTTGTTTGAATTGTTTTCTCTCAAGTTTCATTTATAATTTAGGCTCCATCTTTCGTTTATTTGGCTAGCTTGTCGTAGTACTATTAGAATTTTCTTATAAGACTTTTGAAAACTTTAACTCTTTCATTTTGTGTTTAGTGTAGTTTAAAGTAATACAAAATTTCAACTTCACGCTAACCAACATTATAAACTCTGACTCCTCGTGGGATCGACCCTACTACCACTACTACAACCCAAAACGTATCCATGCATTTGAGTGGTATTGGGTTATTTTGTTCTTGAACTGCACATATTTTAATAACCTAAAATATCCCGCTTCAAGTTTGGCACCGTTGTCGAGGAGTCCGGCATGGTTTGCTTGTTGGTTGTATAAGTGTGATTATGTTCTTAGTTGTTTAGTTTTGTTTTACTAATCTTCTTTTGTTGTAATTTAGGTTTGTTTATTGTTCTTTTGTAGGTTTTGTTATCTTTAGGTATCTCTTTGTTTTTCTTTAGGGGTGTGCATGGTTTGGCCGAAACCGGCCGAACTGGCCAAATCGTATTAATTTGGCTGGTTTGGCTGGTTTATAATAGGAATTCACAGCCGGCCGGTAGGCTTTTTTACAAACCGTCTTATTTGGTCCGGTTTCAATTTTATCTATTAAACTAGTTGTTTTGGCCGGACCGGACCAATTATATATGATAATATATTTATAGATATAATTATTTTATTTTCCCTTATTTTTTTCTAACTTAAAAACAAATACATCGTGCCCTATTTCATTTTCAGCCCTCATTTTACTTTCCCAAATGTCGAACCCTAGAGCCTTCCCGTCGCAATTGTTGTCTCCGACTAAAACATCTACCAAGCCGACAAAATCCAATGCATTTGATTAGAGCCACCATCAACTCTTCACCATTCAGTATCTACGATGATTCCGAATCAATTTCATACTTATATTTTGGTTGTTTAGATCCGAAAAATCGAACACACTCCAGATTCCGGCATCAGCGGCATCGACCGTCAGGTAAGAACTATGAAGACAACCCACTTGGAAATAATTTCTTCACCCCATCTTTTTTATTTTGTTTGCTTGTTTTCTGTGTTATAGCCAAATTAAGTTTGAGTTCTCTTCTTGATGGGTTGGGCTACACTTTGTTTTGGGTTGAAAAAGTGCATCATTTTTTTTGTTTTTGATTGGATTCCAAAGGAATTCTCGCCATGTAAATTGATAAAAATCTTGGTTGGTTTTGTTTGAAAATTGAATGTGTTTTAAGTACAATTGATTACCACTTCTTGGTGGACTTCAAGTGACTATGAGCTTGGCAAATAAGCTGGCATTAGTTCTCTTAAAAGATGGCCAAATTTAAGTCCATTTAAGTCCATTTTAGGAATTATAAATGCACTATCTGAGGCATTACAAAGAAAGGATCAAGATATTGATAATGCCGTGACTTCGGCGAGAGTTTCCAAAGAACATTTACAGGCTACAAGGGATAATGGATGGGATTTTTTGTTAAGTGAAGTTCACTCATTATTCATAAAATATGAGATTATTGTTCAACAAATGGATGATAGGTATGTACTTGAGGGAAGGCCAAGAAGAAATGCTACATAAATCACAAACCTTCATCATTATCGGGTTAACCTTTTTTGTCAGTGATTGACTTGTGACTCAAAGAGCTTGATTAACATTTTGATGAAACAACTACAGAGGGTTGCTTATATCAATGGCTTGTTTGAGTCTAAATCGATCATTTTCAACTTTTGATAAGGAAAAGGTGCTTCGCCTTACAACATTTTATCCATGTGAGTTTTCTCCTTCAAGAATTAGTTCCATTGATACTGTAGATACTTACTACCTCCATTATTTTTATCAGTCACTTTAGGGTGAATCCAAACTTTTTTTTATCTATCACACTTCAATTCCAATACAACATTAAATACAGTTTTCCAATTACACCCTTATCTCTCTCTACTTTTAGTATCATATATTAATGACAATTATCTATTCTTTTACTTTAATTTCAAATTTTTGTATAGTTCCAATACTATAAATTAGGGACAAGAAAGGTATTATACTTAAAATTAAATTATCAATCATTGCTATTTTAATACCTCTAAAAATCCTAAGCGACAGATAAAAAAATGGAGGTAGTATATTTTACATAGGAAGTCAGCCAATGAGTTTTCAGATTTGGAAAATATAAGCGATCTTGCTCAAAAGATGGTTGAGACAAAAAAGGATATTGTGTATCCACTGGTTTATACACTCGTGAAGTTAGTGTTGGTTTTACGTGTTGCAACAGCTACTTCGGAGAGAGCTTTTTCTGCTATGAATATAGTGAAGAGCCGCTTGCGTAATCAAATGGGAGACACTTGGATGAATTATTGTTTAGTTACATCTATTGAGAAACAAATATTCCATGAAGTTGATCAGAAGATCAATCGCTATCAAAAAATGAAGACTCATCATGAACTTTTGTAACTTTATGTTTATTTTTGTTGATGCGATTGCCACTTAATTGCGATTGCCACTTAACTCAATGCTGAAATTTTATTTTAATTCATTGAAATTTAACTCCCTGGAGCACTTGCTTGATCAAGGCTAAAAACAGTCATTTTTAATTCCATAGTTATCATCTTTGTTAAGCTATCATTGTCTTGAGGAGACAGTATCGACGGTATATGTTTTAAAAGTTCGACTCTAGCTTCCTCTCTGAATTCTATCTTTTCTTCTAGGAGCAAGTATCTAAAGCAAGATACCGCTAGCTATTGTATTCTGGTGATATCCGAGATCCATGATCCATCTTCAGGTTGGATTTTATGAAATCCTAGCCGCATTTTCCGTTCAGTCAAGGATGCAAGTAAAAAATAAGAAGTCACGTCCCCTTTTTTGAGACATTCAAGTTTCATTTTTTGGTGGATGAAGTCCTCTTGTTCGTTAAGTTTGAGAGACAAATGTGCCTTGGCTTCATTGATAGCTATTTGATCCGTCACATTCTTCAACATCTCGAAATCTAGCTCCCTTAATCTGACACTTTCTTTAGCCATGCGGAGGTTTTGAAACACGTCTACAAACACTTCTTTGTTCCATGCCTTCAATTTTGTCTTCAGTCTATGTAACTTCACAAAAAAAGCATTCATAAAGTAACCTTGCACGAAATGATTCCAGTTTTTAGTACAATGTCCATAAATTCATGCTTTCTAAACTACATTTCAGACAATACTAATAAGTATTATGATTCAGTCTTCAGACATCAAATTTAGGTGCTTTTATCAAATAACATGAATTTACTTTTCAGACTTCAAACTTCAATTTTAAGTTTTAAGTATTCAGATTTAAATATTAGGTAATTACATCTCAAACAGAGCCTTAGTTTATAGTACATACATGCGGTAAGAAAACACGAAAATTAATGAGAAATGAGCAACCAATTAGAGAATTAAAGACTTTGAAGGATTGTTGTGATATCCTTCTTGCAAAAGTTAGTTTCTTTAAATCTAGGGCGGTACCTAGCGGGAGGATCCTAATTTTATTAATTTAAAGACTTACCCAAACAAAAGAAACCGCCTTACAAAAGTTTTCTAAAAATTCCATGACGATTTCGATGCATATTACCATTAAAAACTGTCTTACAAAAATTCACAATAATCCCATGACAGTTCTATAATACTGTCTAAATAGATAAAATAAAACTTTATAGGTTTATAAACTATACTAGAACTGCCTTGCATAAGTTTTATCATAGCTAGACACATATGTTGATCCCAATTTATAAAGATATACGATGCCAATTAATTCTATCTCTTTCTTAACATATGAAAGATCCAAAGAGTTACTAGATTAAGATAACATCCCCCTTAGATTTTTTTTTTTAAGCAGAAAAGAAAAGAGAAGTAGGTGAAGCTGTCCACAGAAAAAGCTCAATACACTAAGAGGTATACCTCATAGATGAATATTGGACATTTCCTGTACAAAAAATATATCAACTAAAACTAATTATAACAAAAAACAGTCATTCTCAAAAGTAGTATGTGATGGCAATCTCATAGACGAACAGAATTTCATTAATGGAACCATCAACAAGAAAGATCTAAAAAATTTGTTTAAAAGTAAAACTCTAAAAGAGTGCGGAATATCACAAATAAACTAGACCGTTGAAAAGAACATTCTCTACCTTATGAACTCAAACAAAAGATCATAACATAAAATCTAAATAACCATTCAGTTTGAACACTCAAAATCATTTAAGATTGGACCATTCAATATAATTGAACAATTACCCATATAATTGACGACACATGCAATGAGCAAATCACTCACTCAACTACAAAAAAACCACTCGAATATGCTACGATATTGGAAATGATACATTCAAAACAAGGTAATAAGCAAATAAAACACATAATTCATCATGCAATTTCCAAGCAAACTCATCAATATCAATAGATAAACAAAAAAGGTTCTCCTATAACCTAGAGACACAAAAACTCGAACAAACAAGCAATCAAACATGCTCAACCTATGGATTATCATATCAAGAGATGATAAGAAAATTAGTTTTAAAACAATTAAATCATGCAATATGCTCAACATGATAAAATGGTTTAACGCAAAGAACTAAGTGCCGTTAGATCCTAAGAAAAAAAGAATTGACTAACCGTCTAAATCTTTCAAGACAACGAGAAACGCTCATTGTTACGAAAACCATCAAATGAGGATATTTCATTAAAAACCACAAAGGTTACATATTATTTTCGATCCATCTTGATACTCTATTGAGAGAATTTGGCCACCCTTATATATAGGCAAGCTTTCTTGCTCTCTAAGACTTAAAACCTAAACTTAGGGCTAAACAAAAGGTCACTTTCCTTTCCCTACTACTCGATCCAACACATAGGAAGGAAAGACGTAGTCAATTTTGATTCAAACTCTAACTTAACTTAACCGTTAAGCAAAGTAATTAACTTTACTTCTTTTAATGGCAAAAGACTCAAATACCCTTAATGAAATAAAACCCTAGGGCTGGCTATACATTGGCTTCTTAAACACTAATTTATTTAACTTAAGTAAATAGAATTTTATCTATTTATGGCCTCAATAAAATAGTAAATACTAAAATAGCTTCCCGTGCGGCTCTCTCTTTCTTTTTGGTGTGACAGTTTCATTCAAATGTTCAAGCTCCAATGATGTCTTCTACACATTTGAATGTGCATCTTCAGTGTCTTCATGACGCTTATTCTTTGGGACAAACTTACTAGCATCGATCTCAACAACATCACTTGAATCTTCATCACTTGAATCATTCCAATTGTTTGCAAAGTCATCACTTGACTCTTTTGACACTTGATCTTGATTAAGCGATTCTTCTTTCTCCTCATTGCTCCTACTAGAAGGATGAGGTGATAATTCCTTCAAAAAAGGCCAATTTCTCACAGGAAACTTTCTTCTAGACTTAAAAGGAACCAATCTCGGTCCACCAATAGACAATACCACCTTTTGCTCCTTCATTTGGTTTAAACTTCGATGGGAAGTCCTATGATTCTCATCATCCTCCCCTTCATGAAAAGGATTCATCCTCGAATCACGAGTACCTACAAAATGAACAAACGATAAATCATGGTTAGCGTTGAGGGTTCCTCCGACACCACCACTCAATTCACCTTCCACCAGTACTCCATCATTTTTAGTGACAAGTACGGTATTCACTTTGCAAACTTCATTCTCAAGCACACGTCTCTTAAGCGTGATACTCTCACTCTCCCAAAGCAACAATGATCTTAACTCTATCCTTTTACCTTCATTATCAAGGTAAGAGTACATATTCATTCTTCCAACCAAGACCATCCCCATCTTTCTAATCTACGGCATACCCAAAACCACATCATATGCCGTCATAGGTACTATATCTAGCATCTCCAACGTTACAAGATCTCTAATGCGAAGATTCACCTTTGCACTTTGAGTAACACTGATAGCAATCTCGTAGATGAAGCAAACTTCGTTAATGCAACCATCAAACAAGAAAGTACGAAGATAATTTGTCTATCTCGTGAAACTCAAAAGAGTGCGGAAAATTCACAGTAAGACGATCGTTTATATAAGGAATTCTATCTCTTAACTCAAACCAAGCAAAGAACATATACTCGATCAATCATCATTCAAGAGACTCAAGAAAGGTAGGAGCAAACAATGCCCAACTATGAAGGAATACTATTGATTAGTAATCTCCATAACCAACAAAGATATGCAACACATATACTATCTCAAAATGCTTATTCCAAAGCACAACTTATCCAACAAAAGTAGGACAAACCACACAAAGGAACTCATGAACACACACATCAAGAATTCGAAAACCATAGCCAAAAGAAAGCTCAACTCTCGAACTACTAGAAGTAGTATGAAAATAAGAAGTTTAGTTTTAAAACAATTCTATCAAGAAGCATACTTGAAAAAGAACGGTTTCTGCAAGATTAAAAGATCCAAGACAAGATGAAAACCCTCTTGGTTAAATCATACTTGACACGAAAAAAGAACACACCATTTAACAAAAATTCCTCACAGGAAAAGCTCTTATTAGAGAAGACTCAAAATGACCGCACATGGGTGCTTTAACTTTCGGCCATACCCCCCTCCCCCTATTTATAGGCTAGCAATTTCGGCCAAAGCACCAAAAAGAAGACCAACTAGGACTCTCTAATCTTATCTCACGCAGGAGTAAAAGCAGAAGAGTATTTGATCTTTTTTAGTCTATCTAAAATCTAGGAAACCTTATCTAAATGACTCATCCTCAAATAGCATAATACTTAGAAGGAATCTAAGACTCCTAATCAAAACACTCTAGTTTAATTCAGTCTACATGACTTATTTAACTAGATAAAATTTGAAAATTAAACTCCTAGACTTAGACAAACTCTAATCTCGAAAATCAGGTCCAAATATTGAAGTAAAATGTCTTGAACCCCCTTCCAAAAGTGGAATATTGGTCTTGTGCCCCTCGAGTTGTAGAAAACTCCATTTTACTCCAAAACTTGTAGAATTCTCTTTATTGACTCCAAAAGATTGGAAAAACACTTGAAACAATTGAGATAGTTTGCAACCTATCCAATTGTGTAGCAATGGACTCACCCTTTAACAGTTTGATCAAATAGGCCGTCCATTCAAGAACCTAAATGACTCTTCTCTCTGGCTTGATCAATGATCTTCATGGAGCACCTAGAGTCAAACTCTCTTGATACTCTTGAGCACTTATTTTCATGAGTGAATCATCTCCTTTGGTTTGAACCCCAAATTTAATGACATTCTCATCATCTTGATCATAGCTCTCTTGAACCAACTCCCTATCACATAGGTAATCAAGATCCATCCTTTCTTCCTTGAATGGCTTGCAATGTAAACTTGGCATTCCAAAACTAGAATGAAGGACTAGCTCATTCCCTTCACTAGGAGAATCTCCATGGAAGGCTATATGATTCTCATCATCCCCTCCTTCTTTAAGAGGATTCGTCCTCGAATCATCAACCTCTATACCTGCACAAGGAACAAATGAGATATAAGGGTTAGTAAAATCCTCACCCTCACCACACTCTAATTTTCTCTCATTGTGTGCATCTTTTTCTGTTTCCACGTTATTTTCATGGTTTTCTCTCGCCTCAAGTCTTACCTCAGCGTGACGCTTTTTACTTTCTTGCGTCACTCTCTCGACTTTTTCTCTCCCTTGTGTATAGGTTATCTTACGTCTTTTTTCTCTCACAAACTCAGCTTCTTCATAAGCCAAAGGCTTAAGAATATATTTTCTGTCCTCTTTAGTAATGACAAAGATATTCTTCGAGCAATGGTGCATAGCATCTACATCATATTGCCAAGGCCTACCTAGCAAAATATCACAAAGAGACATAGGAATTACATCAAAGTAAATTTCATCCCTATACTCTCCAACTTGGAAAGATACCATGGCCTTCTTAGTGACATCCACAACCATCTCTTCACTCAACCATTGAAGCTTGTATGGTCTAGTATGCGGATCCATCTTGATTCCGTTTGCTATGCAAAATTCCTCACTTATACGATCAGTACTCGATCCACCATCGATTACCAAATCAACTTCATTGGACCACCCAACCGAACACTTAGTACGGAAGATACATGTTCGTTGATCACCATCTTCAGCGCCAAACACCAACCCTTGATCCTCAATTTGACCATTCCAACAACAAGAAGTATCATGCTCTCTCTCCACTTCTAAGGCAGCGTAGTATGCCTCATAGGGCCTTGATTGGCTCCTTATCTTTGGGTCTAGCTTGTACAACAACATCCTTTATTCTTGTTTGACAACAACCAGTAATTTCAAAACTCATTGCTATCAACAAAGTTGAAAAACCACCAAAAAGAAGTAATTGTGTCTTTGTTACTACAAAAACTCCATGAACCCTTGAACCAATAGATGGCTCGATCAAACCCCCCCAAGAACCAAAGGAAGGTTCGAATAATGTTCTCCCCAAAAACAAAAACTCTCTTGCGCTTTTAAGAACACTAACTCTCAAAAATTCAGAATAAAGAGAAGAGTGCTTCTCTTGTTTTACCCTTGTGATCTCGGCAGCAAGAAGAAGAAGAAGAAGAATGGAGTAGAGTGGTGTGAGAATTTTTGAAAAACAGCACCCCTATTTATAGGCAATGCAAGTCTCTTTGTGCAAGAAAACTCCTACAAGATAGGACCTAAATTTTCTCAAGAATATTCCCCCCTTAATTGATAAAATTTCAGTCGACAAGATGGAATAAAAAGGAAAAAATTCGGCCAACATATATATATATATATATATAAAAGGATAGAGTCCTAAAACTTAGATAATCATAATCCCTTTTGGACACAACTTATGAAAGATTCATCCCTACTAATTAGAGACAAAAAAATCCGACCCCCTACTACAAATAGGACTCACAAACTCGGCCAAAACACAAGCACAATTGTATTAAAAGACTAAAAAATTTTCAAATGAAGATAAGACTTCCTTATCTCAATATTTTTCGAAAATAGACTCACTTTAAAACTCTAATTATAATCTCACTGAAATTATAATTTAACTCATGCAAAAATTTGTATTTAAATCCAAGTAGGACTCAAATAAAACACACAATAAAATTGTATTACCATTAGGAAACAAAGGCTGAAAAATTCGGCCAATGTAAACACTAAAATCCAAGACCGAAAAGGTCTCAAATCATAACACAATTTGGACTCAATGACCTTAATTTTAGGCATAAAATTTTGGCCTTGTGAACACACAAATACAAGACCTAATAGGTCTCAAAATGTAACACAAATAGACAACCAAAATTCAAGTTTAACTAGGACTAGGAAACCCCAAATTTTTAGCTCAAAAATTCGGCTATACTATAACTCTAAAATGCAAAACCAACTAGCCTTAGAACTCCACATAAAACACATGCACACACATGCAGTAATTCAGCAAATTTTTGACATTTAACTTTTACCACATAGTTAAAATTTGAAAAATTACTTTTGACTCACTTTAAAAAAGAAAACTTGGAAATTACCACTTTCCAAAATGTCCAACAAATTTTAAAATACTTTCCAAAAACCACTTTCCAAATTGTATATGCAATTTACAAAAATCACTTTTTACCAAAACAATCTATGGCAAATAAAGTAACAAGAACACCATAAGTATAATGAAGTTGGAATTTAAAGTTCCTCATTCAACTATGACGTTTGTTTCGTAATACTCAATTTAACACAAACCATTCATACAACTCAATGACTCAACAAGGTCATCTTCATAAGTGACCATTTGAAAATCAAATTTTCCAAAGACCAAATATGTAAACTTCAAGAACATATCTTAAAGCCTATAAGACTTCTTGTATATATAAGAAAATCTTTAGTAAAACTTCACTCAATTCTCGATTCAACTCTCAAAAATTAAGGTTTTAAACACAAGTCAAAGACTTCAACCCTTAAAGTTGGCACAATTCAACTTCAAAGACCTTTAAACATTTTGATACCAAAATTGATATCACTATAATTCATTCTTCATCAAATGATAAAGAAAGTTTTGAAACTCAAGTTAAGAATCATGGAAAGTCCAATGATAGGAAGATCCACTAATTCGACTCATTCTCAAAGTATAAACTCGAGAAAAACCAAAAAAACCTGACATTTGTTACTTTTGAAAATCTTTTGACACTAAGATTTAACAAAGTAAAATAAACAACAAGATCGGAACTCTATGAAGTTTTCATTGATTGAAAATCCATAAATTCCATTTTACTCATTAGATTCAAATGAGAACCAACAAAAAGGAAGGTTTTTTCATTTATACTTTATGTAGAAAGTACAAAATCACTAAGCTTCATCTTTCAAAGAATAGATCTAAGATATTTACCACAAGATAAACTCTTAAATCCACCTCATGTAAAGACATCTCTTTTAGAAAGAAAAGGCTATCTCGAGCAAGAAGCTCTTCTTTGGCATCAATTCTCTCCTTAAAGATTCAACACATAAAATCCACTAACTTGCTCATAGGAGAAACAGTTCTCTACTTGCAAATCAAGCATAAATTTCAAGATGTAGCGCCCACTTTGACTAGATACCAATGTACCATCATCAAGCTCTCTCATAGACCTCATAATAACACCACAAGATCAAACAAATGTGTAAGAAGTCTCGCACAACCACACAAAAGACAAGATCAATTTTGAAAACGTAGTTTTCACAAGAATTTGATTTATTTTTTCAAATAAAGATAGTACTACTTGTTAGTAGCACAAAGCTCGATTACCACACCAAGAAACGGATTCCGTGGTAACTCAAGATATTTTCAAAACCAAGA